AAGTAACGCGTTATTATAAGTAAGGCGTTACTGAAAAAGTAAGGCGTTACTTCTTAAAATAAAGGTTTTTATTTGTTTTAAAGTTTTACCTTGTGCATTTCGCACGCTTTGATAAATAGTGATAATACATAATTATGTGCACTACATCCCACACAAGACTACTTAAAACACAAAGAGGGTGTAAATGTAAAAAACAGGACAAAAAAGTAGTCAAATCAAATGACCCATTTCAAAAAAGCAATTCAACTCAATTGGACATATCTCAATCTTTTCAAAGATCCAAAAAAATAATACAAGAACAGTTTGACCAACGAATTATTAATTTTATTGTTGACACAATGTCGGCTGTATCGTTTGTTGATCATCCAAGTTTTAGAGGATTATTTCAAGGAATTAACGTAAATGTTATGAGTAAAAAAACTGCAATAAAAAAGTTTTTTTTTGCACTACTGCAGATATTTGGTCTTCCAAAACGTGCAGTTTTTTGGGTGTGACGTGTCACTGGATGATTTAGAATGAAAGTCGGCAGCTATTGCTTGTAGGACATCATACATAAGACAGAATAGCAGTAATATTAGATAATATTGGTTTAGATGATCGGAAACTGGTGGCAATAGTTATAGATAATGGATCAAATTTTGTAAAAGCATTAAAAATATTTGGTATAAACAGTATATATATTACGGCGGGTCCTTTTTGCCCACAAATCTCTGTTTTCTACCTGTGTAAGTAAAGGGGTGCGTTAATCTTACTGGTATTTTGCCCACAGTAGCATTCAGGTACCTAAACCCGCAATTTACATCCGCCCACAAATAGGTACCTACCTGATTATTAATAATTCTAATAGGTACTTACTTTGGGTGTTTACTGTTTATATTTCAGTCAGTTTTTATACGTTGATGATTGTAATTCGAGTGTTTATAAACAATAATTATTTCTATAATGTCAGCTACATTGATTAAAAGCACACGCGGGAAAGATGTACTCCTTTTGGAGAATTTTACGTTTGCCAAAGATAGAGAAATGAAAAGTGGAGAAGTTTCTTGGAGATGCTCCCAAAGAAAAACAAATGCTTGTAATGCCACTGTATTTACAATTGGTCCTGAACTTTTAGTATCCAGAGGCAACCTAATTCATAGCCATGAAGCAAATGAACCGAAATTAAACAGGAAAATTATTTCTAATTCGTGTAAGCGAAAAGCAGTTCATGATATTTCGGAAAAACCTTCTAAAATTATCCGTAAAGTACTTGCTACTAATTTACCAGAGTCACTAACTACAATTGATGTGTCCTACATAAGAAAAACTATATACAACAGTCGTCGTAAAATACTACCAGGTCCATTACCTACAAATATACAAGAAGTGCATGATGCAGTTGACTTATATTCTAATACATTTAAAACCAGTAAAGGTGAACATTTTCTTTTAATAAATAGCAGAGAAAATAATATTATTGTATTTACATGCGAGACAAATATTCGTACTTTGTGTAAAATGAACGTCTTGTATATGGATGGAACATTTTCGTATTGTACAAAGTTTTTCCTACAATTATTTACCATTCATGGGCTGTGTAATGGACACTATGTGCCCCTGGTATATTGTTTATTACCAAACAAATCTACCGATATATACAAACATTTGTTTTCGTTATTGCATTATAAAATTTTGGAAACTTACAGTATTGCTTTAAATCCATCTAAAGTGTTCGTTGATTTTGAAATAGCAATTCATAAGGTGTTAATTTATATGTGGCCTAATACTGTAATCAATGGCTGCCGACTTCATCTACATCAAGCGTGGTATCGTAAAATTCAGTCTCTGGGATTAATGACTGAATATACAACTAACAGTGATACCGGAAAATGACTTAAAATATCATTTGGGTTGACATATTTAAACACCGATGAAGTTGGAGACTGTTTTGTGGTTGACTTAATGGCAAGTAAACCAGAAAATGCCGTTCTCGATAGGTATGCCGATTACCTATTAGAAACATATATTGAAGAAAATTCTACATTTCCTCCAAGTATATGGGCAGAAAAAACAGCTTCAATTACAAGAACTACAAATGCCTGTGAGTCGTTTAATTCAAGGTTTAATTCTTCATTCTACTGTACACATCCTTTCTGTATATATTTTTATAGAAAAGCTTAAAGACTTTCAAATCGACACGTATGTCACAATACAAAGCTTAAGTATACCTAAGAAAATCAAAAACAAAAGTGTAAAACAAAAAATTCAGTGTTTAGAAAAATTTATACAGCGATTTGATCTGCAGCAAATCAGCAGATTAGAGTATATAAAATTTGTATCACATTTATCCCTCCCAGTTGAAAAATATGTAAATAAAATATAAATATATAAAAAAATATAATATAACTTATGTATACTTACTTTTTTATAATAATAAAAATTAGTGTTTAATATAATTTTTAGTTTAATTAATAATGTGTTTTTACTTTTCGATAATATATAAAAAATAATAAATGAAAGATATATCTATTATGATTTATTCAGTTAGAAATAAATTTGGGCAAAATACCAACAGGATTAAGATGACCTTTTACTTGCTGTGGGCAAATTACCTATAGGATTAGCAGCTTTAAATATTTTGTGGGCAAATTACCTCCGCCCATATATTAATGGGTTATTTACTTCTAGGGAAATAGAGGAAGATGAAAATTTAGAAGAACAGGAAGAAGGTATAGAAGATATTTTATTTTTGCCAGCACCAATAGATCCTGACGAAAATATATCATCTTCTATTACCTTACCATACCATTTGCGCTGCGCATCACACACTTTAAATTTAATTGCTTCTGCAGATGTTATAAATAAAATAAACAAAAACGCTTCAATGAAATCTCGACACACAAACATTATATCAAAGTGTAATGTATTATGGAAAAAGCTGGAAGACCCAAATCAGCCGAAATAATAAAAAAACGTCAGGTCATACAATTAGTTATCCTGCAATAACCCGCTGGAATTCTACTTATGATTCTTTATCTCTAATTTTAAAAATAAAAAATTCTCTTCCACATTTATTCAGAAATTTAGAGATTAAATCTCCGTCTGCAACAAACCGTTGGTGAATTGGTTAAAGAATACACAGTTGATATTAAACAGAATATTGTAAATGATGCTAAAGCGCTATTGGAAATTAATCAATCGACAGTATTAGCTTTAAAAGAGAATATAAAGACATACAGACATTAACTTTTTTTATTTTCTCGACGAAGAAGACAACTGTGTCACGGAAAAGGATAGACTCATAGAATTACAAGTTCTACAATTTTTGCAGGATCCTGATATTAATTTGTCTATGTTAAAAAAGTATCCGTACGTACAAAATGTTTTTATTAAATTTAATACTCCATTACCTTCTTCAGCCCCAGTTGAACGTCTATAGAAGACATGCTTTATCTGATTAAAATTTTAAAAATCTAAAATTAAATGTTATATTTCAAATGTACCTAATTTCTTTAATGTTTGTACTTTAGTATTTAGTATTATAATTTTACCCAGTTTTACTATGTTTATTATTTATTGTCGTTAGGTTTTTATTTATTTTTAAAGTTGTCTAGAGTGTTACCATTATGTTTTGTTTTCTAATATTTGACATTTAAAAAACAGCCGATTGCCTGATCACATTAAAATTTGGCAGAGGTGTAGGTTACCGTTGCAACTTATAACTGCTAGATTAAGACTGTTTATTTTTCAAGTGTTGAGACATTTAGTCAAATAAATATTACAAGTACCTATATATATAAAAATGTACACCAACTTTTTCTTAATTTCTTTCCAAAATTAACGCTTTTTTAAAGTAACGCGTTACTTTTGCAGTAACGCGTTACTTTAAAAACGCGTTACTTTCGGAAAGTAATGAATAATTCGTTACTTTTACTTTTTAAAAAAAGTAACGGTAACGATTATATAACGCATTACTTTCCATCAAAAGTAACGATATAGTAACGCGTTACTTTTTTTTAGTAACGGTCCCAGGTATGTTATCTACCTATAAGAGCAATAGTCACTTGATTTAAAAAGACTTGTAATTAATGTAAGGCGACGGTGAATCTGATGAGGAAGGTGATGTTATAGTGATTTAGATTAGTTTTACAAACATAATTTTTCTATTAATTTTTGAGAATTCATAAATTACAACTCTGTAGGTACTAGCTGGCAAAAACAAATAATTATTTTAACTGACAAAAAAATTTACACTTTATCTTGAATGATATAATACTAGCACAAACTCAACAAAGTAACAAACACTTGAATCATTTTGGCAATAAAACTATTTAATAAGCTATACTCAGTAAGAGATTTGCAACTAAGACAACTGATATAAATAGGTAGGTATCATATGAAAAAAGTTTCAATTAAAAATGCATTTTACGATAAACCTAAATGATTAAAAAAAATATCTTAATTTTTGATTTTAATCTTATACTAAATTGATTCTAATGTTCGATTGTATCATGTTCATATAATAAAGGCTGGTCTGAATAAGAAAATAATATAAATTAATAAATATGTAAGGAACTGTTTAACCATTTTTTTTTTACTGATTCCTGTTAGGTTTATTTTTTGATTCTTTTAATTACGTTTTTTTAAATAGTTTACTATTTTAATTCTTTTTTATTATAGGTACCTTAAATTAATGTGTGTGTGAGAGAGAGAATGGCATTAGACGAAGTCTGTTTGCCACAAAATGACTTAAATAAATGTAAATTTGTAGTTTGTGCAATAAATTATTTATAAAATTGATACTACCTAGGACAAAAATAACCTAAAAAAATACAAATACTTACGATTGCCAAAGTTTTCAAACACCTGTATACACAAATAAGTAGGTATACCGATATTTGTTTATTTTTAATGCAAAATTTCTTATTTTCAATTAATTTTGTTTCAATTTACCTGATTTTTCCGTTATAGCTGCCCTCTCCTCTCCCACATCATAGCAAAAATAAAAACGAAACAAATTGTTTTCACAAAAATAAATACTTTAATATAGATATACAAAAATTTACAAATCCGAAATTGGGAACTTATATACTGAATAGTACTTACTATTACAATTTTTCGAAACATCTAGAATTCGTCAACATTTCCCTAGTCAACCGCCACACTTGTTTCGACGCATTTTCTAACGCACTAGGCGATTTGCCCTTAAATAAATCCAAATTGGGTAAAAAATAATGCGGACACCGTTTGCACTGTAAACACGATATTAATTGCAGGAAAATACCGTTGATTCTGTCCGCTATGCAGGATTCATCCCATTCGGATTCTCTAGGATGTTTTTCGCACTCGTACAACAGCAATGTTTTCATGTGGTACCCGGTTACAGGATTCCCAGGTAGATCTAGATGTCTATCTCGTAAAGTCTTCAGAATACTAAGGCACCGTTTCCTGCAGCCTCCTTGCAGCAATCGATTTTCGGCTTCAAGAAATGAAAGAACCCACGCATCACCTTCCATTGCGGATTGCTTTCCTTGCAACGCTATGCACTCTTTAGATAAAAGATCGAAACCTTCAGTTTTAACTTCTACTACGATATTGGGATGCGGCCATGGGATTTGGGGTAAAGGCCAATGCGCTGCACTTCTAGGCCACAATCCTGCACACTTAAAAGCCGGAGTTATCTGTACTATATATCGTTCTCGTATCCTTAATTTCACCTCTGTCGTATCTGCAATCATTTTAACACTGTCTCTGTACGAACACTTATCACAGGCTTGGGCTACTAAGGTTTGGAATCTCGATCGCATTTTTCTCGCCGATAGATATCCCGAAGCTGTTATGAATTCGACCCATAAGGACATCGATCGCTTCCTGCCGTCGCTAAGTTTCAATACGGCGCATCCTGGTAACGTGCCATCGTCTACGAAGTTTAACACTCCCATTTGGTTCAAATATATCACCACTTCGAATTCCAACGGCGAAATCACTTCTAAACCATCGAATCTTCCATTGTAATCAGTCAAAGATGAAATAAATCTAGGTTCTTGCACTTCCACTTCCTTCAACACATCCTGCACCACTCTGCAAACTTCTTGTATAGTTTTCGATGATTGTAACTTCCTAGCTTGCACTTTTTCTGTGTAATACTTGTTCAGCTGGTACACCATCTTTGATTGGGCAGCTAGCATGTCCGGTGGAACGAGCATTGTAGCTGTATGATTACTACGGCTACTAGAGCCTATTTTTTCCGCCGGTGCCACCTTGATTGTGATATCTTATTCCGGGGCTGGAGAAGGTGGGGGTGGAATTTTTAGTTAAATCGGATGTGTTATCGGGGTCCTGTGATGGATCACGTAAGGCAGTCGTAACGATACTGTCGTGTATGCCGTGTATGCGTAATGGAACGGGCGACGAGCAGCAGGTGAGACGAGCTCCTCCCTTCTACTCGAGACGGGAGTGAAAATGAGACTCCGCCTACTAGTGACGGCCAATCGTGCCCGATACTGACGGTTGCTATAGCGTTTCGGATGCTAGGTTATAATGGAATGGCGAACAAGGGGTAGGAGTGGTCGATTGTTGATTGTTTTAATGCTTACAATAGGAGTCCTGCGTTACAAACGTTCCTTGGTATGTTGGGAATGAATGGCTTGTTTGTTTGTTTTGGTTTTTATTTTAAAATTGATGCGATTTAATTAAAATAAACATAGTAATATTAAGTAATATTAAGTAGATAGGAACTATTTTAATAGTTTTATGTTCCAAATAGTTCACCAGAATTGGGTTCTAAAGGCGACCCAGATAACAGTACCTAGGTATATTCGACTTTTTTTGACAAAATTTCACTATGCACAAGAGATGAGAATGATCAGAAGGTAGGTATTATAGGTATATACGAGTAGGTACATAGGTAAGGTCCGATTACAAGAACACAGCTACGTCATCATTTAGCAAAGTAATTAATTGGTTATCGCCGCCTACTGGAGGTTTAGTGGAGTGTTAATATTATAGAAATAGGTATAGGAAATATTGTTTTATAACTAACAAATTATTCATTTTTTATTTATTGATAGTTATAAAATAGTATATTGTTTAACGAGTAACTCGGCTGCGCCTCGTTTGATAAACTGTTCTCTTGTTTGCAGAAAATGCTTTTCGACAAGTAAAACACTATACTTTTTCTATAACCATGGCTTACTATATTAGGATGTAGGTAGGTACAAGAAGTTTAAATGAGTTGAATTATCTTTAAAGTGATCTCGACGAAATCTGCGATTTAGGGGTAAACCCTGTTTTACCATGTTTGTTTTGGCATCTACCTTTATATTATAATTGAACTTTTCCATTATAAAATCCTAAAAATGAATTCTAAGACTGCAACAATAATTTTATAATATCTGAAAATGCATTGAATTTTAAAAGTATTTTTTCTACGCAGATTACAAGATGAAAAAGTATGCTATTGCCTTCAACTGAACGAATATAAGTATTTCATTTCCATTCTAGGTAGTGAGAGCACTGCAAAAAAAAAATAAAACCCGCACCAATCACCGTTCATATTATCAACTGATTGCTATTATTTTTAAAATTTTAAATAAGTGACAATTCTGCCAAACTAATTGTCAGTATATTTTTTAGTTATTGAAATTAAACATACATTAAAATAGGTTATTCTTGCGTAGAATCGATAAATAATAACATTTCTGTTTTTATTTTGTCTATAACTGTAAATAATTTGTTAATTTAAATAAAACTATATGAAGTCAATTTAATCACAAGTATTAAAACATCAAAAATAAAAGAATAGGTGGTCCTGTGGTTTATTTTTTTTTTTTAATTATTAAAAGTCATAAATTATTTTAAAATTAGTTTTGTTTTTTTTATTTGTAAATTTTTGTTAGTGGGTCGTAAAAAAAATATACTGTACAACTCGAGTGGATTGGCCACATCGCACTGAGATAATCGAGCACTCCGCCTACGGCGTCGTGCTCAAATTTTGTCTTCGTGCGATATGGCCATCATATCCACTCTTGTTGCACAAACTACTGTTCTATCTACTATTACTCTTCAATATAAATTACTATTTTTATTTTCCCTGTATAATATCTATATTTTACAAAATTCAATGCTCGATTATAGATTTCCAAGTGATGTAGAACTTTTTACCAAGAATATTTTTTGTAAAATGTAAAATTCAATTTTTTTACCTTAAAGACTAGCGCCTAAATTAAGTGATTAGCATGCGAAAAATGTATTTCTTATTCTTTTAGATGTAAAAAAATAGGTATTTGAATTTATTGAAAATGCAATAGGTTTTTACCTAGGTACGTACTTATTTTTGTCTGGGAATACCTACTACGACCATTAGCAACCACCGTTTTTTGATACATAACCTACTTACCTGTGTTAATTTAACATGAAAATTTAAAAAAATTACTATAGATAATTGCCTATGTATTTTTTTCTATTTTTCTTCTGTCAAACAATATTAAAGGTATATTCTTATAAGTACATTTTTCCTATTTTCTATAATTTTGGTATCTACTAAGAGTATTTTGTAAAGTTATTATTTGTTTAGGTAATTTTGATTGTGTTTATATAATTTCACATAACTTGTTTTTCTTTAGACAACTCGAAAATAATAGGCAGGTATATATGTATTTACTAACTTTAAATATTTTTTTACATAAACATTTACAAAGTTACTATATTTATATTGTATTTTTTCCCTATGTATTTTTTTTAAATTTATTGTTTAAATTTGATATTTTTTAGTTAATGTTATTTTTTATTTTTTTTTTAATTTCATCTAACTTTTTTTAAGTCTATTTTTTGTAAATTTTATTGTTTTAAATTACTTACCTATATATTTTTACTTTCATATCTGTATACAGATAAGGAAAGTATAGGAATCACGATTTTTTTCGACCGAGTTTTCGACATATTTTTGCGTTTTATGAACGGATACAAATAAAAACACTAAATTTTAAACTTAAGCTTTATTCCAGCCTGCGGTGAACTGATTAGAATTTGGGCAGAGTCAGAACATCTGGGGGGTACTTTATAGTGCTTCATTTTTATATTTTATGAAATATATATGTTATTTACGTTTAGAGAAGAAAATTCTTTAAATAAATTTACTTTTAATATTATTCTCTATAATTTTTGTTTTACACAAAATTTTCCTAAAATTGTCCGTACCTAGTCGAGAAATTTGGCAAAATGTAAAAAATTTAAATTTTAATGAAAATTGTTTAAATAAAAGTTTTTTGTGATATAATTCTCTATAATTCTTGTTCTATACATAATTTCTCTAAAATGGACCGTATTCGAGATATTTAAGAAAATGTGTAAATTTCGAATTTTGAAGAAAACTCAAAAACTGAAAAAGAGAAAAACACCAAATTTTAAACTTTTATTCTGGCCTGCGTGAACTAAATAAATTTTTGGTAGAGTCGAAACATCTAGGGGGGGGGAAACTTTATAGGGGGTCGTTTTTATATTTTATGGAATTTTTCTGTTATTTACGTTTGCATAAGAAAATTCTTCAAATAAAAGTTATTTCTAATTATTATTCTCTATAATTTTTGATGCATAAAATTTTTTTTCTAAAATGGTCCGTAATCGTGAAATTTGACAAAGGGCGCAAAATTCTGATGTTTTAAGAAAATTGTTAAACTAAAAAAATTAGAGAAAAAGTGAAAAATTTTAATATTTCAGTATTTGTTGGCAATGAATAGGGGAGACCGGGTTTGGTTCCCGCCACTCTGCACTTACCGTCTCCAACCTTTGGACAGATCGGTGTATGGACCTTTGAAAAAATACATTAACAACAATAGATGGTAAATCATCCAGGCCAACAAATGACGATATACGAAATACCAGGAATAATTGCACAGGCAGTTACTCCATCCAATATTCTCGCAGGTTTTAAAACCTGTGGGATCTCCCCATTTAATCGGGACATATTTCAAGAGCACGACTTCTTGCCGTCGTCTGTCACAGATAGACCCCTAATTACGAATCCTGATGGCGAAATCGTACACAATAGAGCACATAATCAAAACGATAGCACTGATCTCGCACGTAACACTGTCACTAATGAACCTGCAACTATTCCATGTGAGACGCCTGGCCTTGAAGATACTGTATCGGCTGAAAATGAGAGCCCTGGCCTTAATACTCATTCTATGACAGCACAAAGTTTGCCTGGCTGCTCAACGTCAGAGCAATCGCTGCAGCATCAAGCTACCAAGAAACCTACCATGATCACTAGTCCTGGTCCATGTAGTGCAGGGAGTTCTCTGATAGTATCTCCGCTAGCTTTGAAACCCCTACCAAAAGCTCCTCTGCGCAAATCGCAGAGAACTGAGAAGGAAATGTAAATCAGCAATTCTAACAGACACACCGGAGAAGACCTATTTAGAAGAGAAAATACTGGAACAAGAAGCAAGAAAGAAGAAAGTAACGAAACGTGTTTTGAGTGAGGATAAGGAAGAAAAAAACGCTGATAGAAAGAATTCTAAAGGAAAGAAAGGAAAAAGAATGAAAAAAAAATCAGTTTACGATGAAGACGAGGAAGAGGATGAAGTGTTTTGCCTGGTATGCGTATCTGCATACTCTGCTAGCAAGCCCAGAGAAATTTGGATTCAGTGCCAAAAATGCAAGTTATGGGCTCACGAAGCTTGCACACCTGGGCTACCTTATTACATTTGACAGAACTGTGATTCAGAGTATTCAGACTGATTCTTTATACTGACTAGGTGTATTTTTTATTTTGGTTACGTATTCTTAGGTTTCTATAGTTTGTTTGATAGAGTAAGCTTATTTTGTTTTTGATATGAGTAAATTTTTAATTTTTGTTAACCTATTTTTTTGATAGAAGTTTGTTTTGTTTTTTAATATGAATAAAACATTTTTCGTTATTTTCTTGGACACAATAGGAAATTAAGTACCTACAACCACATTTCTTTAATAAAAATTCGTTCGATTTGAATAAATGTGTTTATTTCCCTTTTAATTTATCATGTGACTACAGTAAATGCCAAATCTAAAGAACCAAGGACGCGCATGTATAATGCTACGAACACGTCTACCGATGAATAGAATTGGTAGCTTACCTAGAAAGTTGTAAACCAGGGGCGCGTATATTTTAAGACATAAAATAAATGGAAAATAGTGAATGATACTTGTTCATACATATTGCTTAGTGTTATTATTAGTACATAATTCTATAGTCAATTAAAAGGCCGTTCTACCGCTTTCCGTTCGGTATTGTCACGAGCCTATTGTCGTGATTGAGTCACTTTAAATAATGACTCTATGTGCTACCTGACTTGGAGAAATAAAAGATTACGAGAACAATTAACAATTTAT